TGAATGAATCTTAGCAGATTTTGAACCATCTGCATCTGATCCGGATATGATTTGGCACAGGTCATGGTTCTTGCCGGTATGAGTATAACCTCTGATTCAAGTGAGATGAGATGCAACAAGATGAAAAGATATGATTTTGCACTTATACATTTTTCCTATGTTATGTTTTCTTTGCAAAATAGTATCCATGTAATGTAATATGCTTCAGCCAGAGCCAGAGACTGTTCTCTGATTACTCGCTCTTCAGTTTCTGATAAAGAAGCTAAAATGTCTCAGCTTTTCTTCATAAGCCAATGGAATGTATGTAAGGGTAGCTTTTAACTGATTTCTGTCCATATTTACGCCATCGGTATCCGTCATTCGAAACATGAAACAATGTCTTAGTGTGAACCACACTAGGTGGTTCATTGGTTGATCAGTCCTCTGGCCTTAGCTCCACAAACCCACCTCCCACCTTCTTCCTGATACATACCAAGTGAAAAAGAACATCAATAAGCAATACCTTCTTTTTGAAGCAGGAATACTGTCCTTATGGGAATAATCCTTGGTCCTACTTGATTGTGTAATAACAATTCTCAGTTCATCTGCCGATAAAGTAACCTAAACTTGAAGTTCTGTTTGATGAGGTGTTCGGACACAGGTTTCCTGATGGTGTCTCTACGAACACAGTACTATCACAATTTTGGAAACCCTTCTTGATGTGGCTCGGTTTGACAAGCCTCATTGATGATTTTCTTTGACTGATTGACTCACAGTTTCTGGTTCCAGTTCCAGTGGCTGACCATAAATGAAATGATTCAAACAAACAAAAGAAGAATCTTCTGAAGAGTAACTGAGAGAACCTCTTAAGAGTATAACGGGCTGCTTTAAATCCCAGGCAAATTAAGGAACCAACTCCAAAAATGCAAACTTTGACTTGTATCTTAACTAAGCCTTAAAAGATCAGTGAGTAGGAGGAACTTGTCTTATTGCTTCACCAACAAACTAAAACTCAACCCTTTTTTTTTTTAAGACTGAACCAAATCACAGGAATCCTAGAATCACAAGCTAATCCTGACCAAATTTATTAACTCAAATCCGATTTTTGCCGGTTTTGACTTGTTTACCATCCGAAATTTAAAATCAGATTTTAAGAAACGCGTTTCGGTCAGACCGAGTCTGACCGACTGGTTTGGTCAAAACCTTGCTATTTGTGAAATTAATTTAAATGATATCTTAAAATTAAGAAAATAATTTCAAATTTTAGTAGACGATAAAACAACAAATTGTAAAAATCTTCAATCAGATCCATTTGTAAATCTTTATTAATTGTGTAGAGAATAGAAAAACAACTCTTGTGTTTTTGTAATTTTTTTATAGCTAAATTGTTGTTTTAACAAGATTTTCAAGTCCTCGAAATGATGGCAGGAGAAACAATCATATAATCCTTCAACTTGCTATGCAAACTGGTACAAGAAGATATTCATTATATATTCAACACAAAAGGCTATGGTTTCATATGGAAAACAATATAACAAACGTTGAAAACAGATGTAAATGTAATTAAACAATTAAGGCTTAAATCATGTGTTTGGAGGACACTTGTTTGCAGCAAAAAATAGTTCATAGGTGATCTGTTTTTTTCAGGTTGACTTGGATGCATACACATTCGGTCAGGCGGCAAGATTGACATGGTGCATGCATGGGTCTCTTAGTCGAGTCACCGGTTTTGTCTTTTGGTCATTTTGTCAAATCTTTATTTTATTTTTATTGGTGTGAATAGATTGTTATTTTAGGTGAAGAATTTGTCTCTTCACCTAAACAAGGGTTTGGAATTTTTTTAGAACAAATAAGGGTTTGGTGAAGGGTTGACTCTTCAAGGTCGCTTAACCTAGTTTCAAAAAAAAAAAGGTCGCTCAACTTATTTTACACGATTTTTTACAGAGCATTTTATTATTATGTAGATTGATTGCATTTGGATGGTGATATAGCAAATTTCCACTTGTCTCTTTTGTTGTGAAGATTGATTAGGGGGGTTTCAAATCACTTTATTAAAAAGTTTTATGATGTATGTGATTTGTGCTAATTGCTTTAATAATTTGAGAAAAAAAAATTAATTAAATGAAAAAGAGAAGAAGAATAAAGCTATTTTCTTTAACGTATCTAAGAAGTTCACCTTCTAGAAGGAAATTTTGGGTAGGTCCTAAAGCGATGGTGGATCGCCGTAACTTCATGGCCACGGTGATTTCAGCGTCTATTAAACGGCGTCGTATCATACACTCCATCTTCCATAGGAGATTTTTTCCTAGTGTCATGTTTGTAAATGTTTTTTTTCGGTTTAGTGACTTGTCACAAAGTCTCTAGGGGAAAAAAGTTTAAGTTGTGAAAACTTGGCATGGGTTAAACTTTGTATAGATTTTTAAACTATACAAAAATCTTTGCTTTGTATTTGAAAAAGTCTCATCGAAATAAGTTCTTACCCATTGACAAACACTTCTTAATATTTGACTGATGTAAACCATTTTGCTACATTGAATTATGTATAGCAAAACGAGGTAAACTTAAAGTACAATAAAAGACATAAAGAGGAATCAAAGACCAAATGTGAATGCGTGGAGTATTGCGACACGTTTAACTATCTTTTTCTTCCAAATCAACGGCCAATCTTCAGTTTTCTTCAAGGATTAAAAATACATAATGAAATATTTTGAGATAGTATATTTAAATTACTCTCGAGGAAATCAAAACACAGCCACGTTAGTGTCAATTAGACGATGATTTCCAACTAATCTACCTAATCCACTGTAAATGTAATATTTTAATTAAAATCTATATAACTGTTTAGCATATTTGTCTTTTGTATTCCCTTTCTCTGAGAACAAACGAATAACCACGTCAACTTTTGTTTAATCTTGTTTATATATAAGCTATAAGCCTATTACCTTCAAAATATCTCATTTTAACGTATATAAAGTTTTGTTTTAATAGAAATATGTTATATAAGATATCTTAATGCATATTAGTACGTAAAATTACAGTGAATCAAAATCGTATGGAAAGCAATGTAAATCTCAATACAATTTTAAATAGTTAGAGAAATTAAAACGTTTTCTTAAACTTGTCTAACAACAAAAAAAACCTTTGCTTAAAATAACATTGATCAGATCAAGCATTTATATATATTTTAGAAGAACAATTTCATGTAATACCAAGTGAGCCGCCCGATGCGATCGAAATCCACCACAAACATTTCTTTAAGAATTAACAAACCCCAACTTAGCGAACATCCTTGCCGATTAAAATCTTAAAATGTTCCAAGTTGTAATATTTAGATTAGAGCCGGGTTGCTCACTTCTCTTATTGTTCTTCTAGGTTTTACTTATTCCTTCATGTAATTATTTAGATTAGATTAGATGTGCGATATAAGTATAGAAGGATCTTGAAGATCCAAGATATTATTAGTGAATATATTGTATTTATTATATAAGATTTGTATCTATCCTAGTTTAGGAAATCTCATCTCTATATAAACACATGTAATTCACTAATAATATATTGGATCTTCAAGATCCTTCTATAATAAGCTTCCCTCTAAATGAAAACATGATTAATCCATCATTTCGAAAATATCATTACAAGAGATCATCTATAACGTAAAAATTATCTATGGGGTCAATTTAGCTTTAATACCATTTTATGAATCATAAACCAATTGTTAATAACTAGAGAGACTGATACCATATGGAGTAGTATATTACTATCTCCATTTACGTTTGGGACATTCTAAAATATTTTTTAAGAAATTAAAGTTTTTTTTAGTTAAATGATGCAAACTTTAAGTTATAAGAGAGAGGAATGGGGTATTTAGAAAAACTATACATAGGGACTTGAAACCATTAAACTTAATTATAATCGTGATATTAAAAAAACTGAAAAGAAAGGAAGCCCATAAATATGACATAATTTGAGTCTTTCTCTTACGTCAAATATCTCAAAAAGAGAAAGCAAAATAGTCAACAAAGAACAGCTTCCGACTTCCGTAGACTTTAAAAAAGTAACCGCGTTTGCGTTTCTATAAGTATCTTCAAACCCCACAAAACTAATCCCAACCTCCAAAACACAACACAAGAGACTCAAAGAAGCAAAAATAGAGATGGATCGAACAAAATCTCCAAAGCTAGCTTTGTTTGCCCTCTCGGCAATACTTGTTCTCTCTTGTGTCAAGGCTCAATCAGGTTGTGACTCCCACAGGTTCGCAAACAACATTGCTTTCGCCGATTGCTCTGCCCTCCCTGCTCTAGGCTCTTTCCTCCATTGGACTTACAACGAACCAAACGGCACCGTTTCTATCGCCTTTCGCCACCCAGCAACCTCTTCTTCTTCTTGGATCGCTTGGGGACTTAACCCTAGTGGGCCTCAGATGTCAGGGACACAATCTCTAGTCGCTTTCACCAATTCTAGTGGCCAGTTCCAAGCCTATACCTCTCCGGTTATTGGGTACAGCACGCAGCTCGAACGCGGGAGCCTCAGCTTCCCTGTGACCGGAGTCGCAGCGACTCTGGTCAATGGTGAGGCTACCATCTTTGCGACTCTTGAGTTGCCGTCGAATTTGGTCACGGCCAATCAGGTTTGGCAGATGGGACCTATGTCTAACGGTGTTCCTATGAGGCATCTAACTAGTGGAGACAATATGAGATCGATTGGTCGGATCGATTTCCGGTCCGGTCAGTCATCAGCTGGTGGTGGAGGTTCCGGTGATAGGCAGAGGAAAAGAAATGTAAGTTTAACTCTCTCTCTTCACCTTTAAGTTCGCTATTATTACATATTCCTTCCGTTCAATGAATACTGATGTTTTGAGGTTTTTTTGTTTGTTTTAAATTATTAAATGATATGTTCTGCAAATTTCAAAAAACATTGATTAAAATTATTTAAATTTTAAATTATTATTGGT